TGACTTTATAGCCACCTTACTTGTACCACAAAAATTTGTAAATGCAGCAATTTCTTAGGTAGAAAGGTGGCTATTGCAGTCAAGGTATTAGTTTCACTTGGTAATAGCTTGATATTGGCCCTCTCTCTTCAGGAACATGTGACCCCACCCTACCATCTGACCCAACCCAATCATGTGACCCCACCCAATCATGTGACCCCACTCCACCATGTGACCCCACTCCACCATGTGACTAGCTATACCTACTTTGGCTTTCCCATTTAAGAGTCCACAAAATATGTTAATTCCTTAATCAATAATAGCTGAGTCAGAGCACATACCAAGCCAGCTTTCCAACTAGTATAAACTTCTACCTACCTTGTTTATAAGACTGGAAGCTTTATTGATCTCTGAACTGCCCGATGATGACTGTTGACTTGATGATCCAGTGCAGACTTTACGTACAGCTGGTTGCATGAATTTAAAATTCAGTATATTGAACCAGCGTATCGAGATTTCTTTAGGATCAAAATCAGCTAAACTCACTTGAAATGACCCCTGAAATAAAGTGGTTAATATTATCAGCAAGCTGGTTGGTGTTCACATACATGTGTACAGGTCAAGAAAAAAAATCTGGAGATTTGGTGAAAAATTGGTGTACTTGGCATTCTTTCAGAGAGTCCACATGTTCAAATGTATAGTTGGTGGTAGATATGGACATCCAGGAGATAATGTTTTAAATCATTAACTCTGAGTCTATTAACATAATCTAAATTGAACAGAATCAACAAATAACAAGTTAGTGAGGAATAATCTTTCAGTCTCCCTAACACTTGCATGATGTTTACAAATACAACCAATATTTTGGACGTGCATTACATATTGTGTGTGTTGAGTGTGCGAATAGACTGCTGTGATTACATATTGTGTGTGTTGAGTGTGCGGATAGACTGCTGTGATTACATATTGTATGTGTTGAGTGTGCGGATAGACTGCTGTGATTACATATGGAACATATTGTCACAACCAATAGTACCGCATTAGTGCAATTGTTATGAGTGTCTTTAATTGATTGATGCTTACCAGACAGTCATCTCTGCCAGAGTCCAAAATACAGAAAACATTAACTTGTAGAGTCTGAGAGCAGAGTTT